CAGCCCCTGAAGCCGACCCCGAGGTGAGAGCGACCCCCGAGCGGCGCCCAGACCCTGGCCCGAGAGCACCGGCTTGGAGCGCCCTGTGCAGGCTAGGGCTGCACGCTCTCGTGCTTGGGAGTAGAACGGGGGAGGGTGGGGGAGCGGAGACCGAGCTCCTCGGCCAAGCAGCACCCACCGGGGCCTAACGGGAGGCTCGCCTTCTTTCCGGGTCGTGCGGGGAACGGCCCTCTGGTCACGCCTGCATGCGGGGGGCGCACCGCGCAGTCTCCGCGTCTCGCGGACGGATACCAGCGGTGAGGATGGGCTGCGTCCCTCGTCCTGCGCTAAACTCGCTTTGTTTCTCGCCTCTAGGCTAAGAGGGACTGACCGGGGCCCAGAGTGGACAAACCGCCAGCATGGGGAGAGACCAGCGCGCGGTGGCCGGCCCTGCCCTACGGCGGTAAGCGACTTTCTGCCTGGTCCCCGTGGGTCCCCCGCGCATGGACCTTCCCTGTAACCCTCGGGGACGGACAAGCCGGGCCCGCACGCTCACGTGCCTCTTTCTCCCTTTCTCATGCAGGTGGCTGCTGCTGGGGACAGTGACCGTGGGGTTCCTTGCCCAGGGCGTCTTGGCGGTAAGTCCTGGCTCCCGCTCCACGCGCTCGGACTTGCGCGCCCGAGAATGGTTGGGACGTTTGAGTGGCCGTGGAGAAGGCAGCTCGTCCGTGCGCTCCCGAGTGTGTGTGTGTGAGTGTGGGTGTTCGCCAGCCTGCCCACCCAGGTTCTGAGAAAGCTTGCTCTTCCCTCCTCGTGCTTTCCACCTTTCCTTCCCGTGGGTTCCCCGCGTCAAGCCTGTGCTTTGCAGGCATCGGCCCTTTCAGGGGAGCTGAGAACTTAAAATGTAGCCTGAGGCACCGTTTTCGTTGCTTTGGGAAAAGCCGCAGCCGTGGAGGCCAGGAAAGAATGTCAGTCACTTGGCAGTGAGACGCCAGGCTTCGGGCGAAAAATGTTTTCCTGGAACTCGGGAGCTGGTGGGGAGGCTCTGTCACGGGCTGAGGGTTTTTTGTGTTTTTAAATGGGAGTCTCTGGGTAAAGGGGCGGGGCGAGGAGGCGAACGAGACAACCTTAGTGTTGTTTGAATTGAACCATTGCGAGGGAACAATGGCAGAAAAACCGCGTTTTCTCCCAAGTCCTGTTCCGGCCCTGGAAGATCTGCTCCGGGCGCCACTCTGGGCCCCTGTTCGCGGAGCCTGCCCCTCCACGCCGGCCATGCACAGCCCTGCCGATACCGTGGGTGCAGCTGGCCACTGCGCTGCGAGAGGCTTTGTACATTTTATGCGTTTCGTTTAAAGAGTAGGAGCCACTTTTACCGAGCCTTATGTAACCATGGCTAGAATGAACAGGTTTGGTGGGTGAATTTAGTGCAGTACTCGAATGTTTAGACAGGAGCTGAAAGTGTAGGGAGCTTTCGAGATGTCCGCTGCCCCTCCTCGCCTTACTGGGGCCTATGGAGTAGCTCTGCCTGTGGCAGCCAGGGCCCAGGTAGATTCCTCCTGGGAGCGACCCCTCCCCTCCTCAGCGCGCACTGTGCCAGAGCAGCACGCAGGTACAAAGGGGGAAGGTGTTCGTGATTTCATTTGAATTCTGTTGTTTTTACATCGTTCTGCCCTAATGGAAAACAAACCAGGATTTTAAGGGCAGTGAGTGATGAGGAGCTACTCCCACTCGGGAAAGAGCTGCTAACTTTACTTTTCCGCTGCTGTTGGCTCCGGTTCAAAGCCCAGGTTGGGAAGTAAGAGGAGGACTCGGAGACTTTGACCAGAGCACTCCAGGCCAAAGTTTTCTTCCAGTTCAGTTGTGTCTCTCCGTCCCAGCCCCGACTTAAGATCAGAACCTAGATATTTGAAGTAGCCCAGTGACCCTGTGAATTCTAATGCACATGTCTGTGCTGCGTGTAAGACTTGTCTCGGATTTATGAACCAGAAGCAATGCATGCGCGTGCAGGCACACACACTCAAAGAAGGGGGCGATCCCAGAAAATACCAAATCGGGCTGTGTGTGCTTTGGTTGTACTGACACCCGCATCCCTTTGTCCGCTAGAGCCGCTTTTATAATTTCCATATGTTCGTGCCTAAGGATGGTGGGAGTCCCAGGAATTGTTTTGTGAACTCATCCTAAAATTGGTGGAAAGACCACCGACCACCTAGGTCTTCACAAAACCTAGGTATTAGCCTGGGCGCGGCGGCTCGCGCCTATAATCTTAGCACTTTGGGAGGCTGAGGCCTGCGGATTGCCTGAGCTCAGGAGTTCGAGACCACCCTGGAGGAAACACGGTAAAACCCTTTATCTACTAAAATACAAAAAATTAGCCAGGCATGGTGGTGCGTGCCTGTAATTCCAGCTACTCAGGAGGCTGAGGCACAAGAATTCCTTGAACCCAGGAGACGGAGGTTACAGTGAGTCGAAATAGTCCCACTGCACTCCAGTCTGGGAGACGAGCAAGACTCTGTCTAAAAACAGAACAAAACAAAACAAAAAAAGAAATAACAACAAGAAAAAAACCCTAGGTACTAAACATAGCTCTGCCCTAATTTCTTAAATCCAGAGCCTCAGTTTCCATACTCTGAAGAAGTACGGCTTCTTACAGAGGCCAAGTACCCTAAGGCAGGTAGGACGCCTCTGTGCCTCCCCAAAACCTCATCAATGCTGCAGGCTCACCCTCAGTCTCTTTGACTCTTTGATCTTGGGATAGGACCAAGAACATTGATTGCCCAGCAGAGCTTCTCAAAGTGCAGGCGCCTTAGAGCCCCAGACGTAAATCACCTGGAAAGACTCGTTAAGAAGTCAGGTCCCCATCTCAGACCTTCTGGTCAGACATTCCGGGGTGGAGTCCAGGACTCCGCCTTCCCACATGATACCGGAATTTGGGAACCACTGAGCTAGTGTACTGGGTTGAGAGGCAGTTGAGATTACTTGCCAATTCACTTCATTTCCCTGGGATTTAGATTCTAACTCAACAAGTAAAAATAGATCTTTTTAATCATTTTACTAGGGACCTACTAATATGTGTTGTTAAGAGACTTGTAGTTTGTTACGTTCAACAAGGGGCCAGCCTTCTGCTTACTCATTTGGTAACCACTGGCTTTAATGGCTGTTTCTCATGAAATAATGTTTCAATTTTCAACTGTATTGTATCAATTAAGAAAACTTAAAGATGTTTCTTAATTATGGCACGGACTCTTTCCTGGGTAGGTCAGTTCAGGAAAAAGGGCTGCCGCCGGGTCCTTGAAGAGTTTTGTTTCAGAAGCAGCTAGGATGGGTAGTGAAGAGCCTGGGTGATTACTTATTAGGCACTTCCTGTGTGCCAATTACTCTGTACTAATGCTTCTAATCCTCACAAGAAAGCACACTGATGAGCTAGGGAACTATTATTACCCCCATTTTACAGGTGAGAAAAGGCACAAAGGGTTTGCAGCCCTTGCCCAAGGTTCCTGTCTTTGTAACTGAATGAAACGGGTTAGAACTCAGGCCTCTTCCTCCATACTGAGCTTCCCAGGGCCTGAAAGGTGGCCGGGAGTTTGGCACTCCTGAGTTTCAGTCTTTGAGTCTCCTGGGGTGTGGGTGCTTTCTCCTTGGTCCTGACCTTGGACTAAGTGCAGTCGGCACTGATTCCTAGGAAGGAGGCTCTCCCCCTCCTTCCTCCTCTGCTTCTCCCACTCTGAGAATCAGGGGCACCGAGTGAAGGAGAGAAGCAAGAGCTTTCCCAAAGGGAGGAAAGGAAGCTGAAATCCCACGGGGCAGCCTGGGCTCTGGACTCAGTGTGAACCCAGGTGCTTTGTGTGGGCACCTCAGGACACACTCCCTGCTGTCCAAGGTGCCTTTTCTAAAGGTGCCCTTGTTTGAATGCAGTGCTGAGATGCACAGAGTGCCTTCGTGTAAGGCAGCGTGACACAGGAGTCCCATCCCAGACTTGAGGCAGGTGACGGGGTGCAGTTCTCAGTTTGGTGGGCAACTGAGGGGCTGCCGCCTAGGGTGGGAACTCACCAAGCCTCTGCATCCTAGTTCTCTCCCCCAAAACGGAGGTGTTACTCATCCCACCCACCTCATAGATGGGAGTGCCGTGAGGTGTGTGGGTGCATGTGAAGTGCCTTGAGGGTCTGGCACAGCCCGGGAGCCAGGAGGTATCCCCTGGGCCTGTTTAAGGGACATCCCCTCGGCTGCCTGTTCTAACCTTCATGGAGGCTTAGAAGCACTCACTGTAGCCGCTGTGAGCATTGTCACTTATCTCCAGAGGCTGGCAGCAGCCTGAGGGATCAAATATGCAGCCGGCTGGGCGGTCACCTGAGGACCTCTGCCCGGAACCTGGGGCCACAAAGACATGGGTTCACGTAGGTATCAGTGCGGGGCCCCTGCCTGCCGCTTAGTTTCCAGGCTGTCCTCGGGGCTCCAGCCCCCGGAAATTCGCCTGACCTTCCTGTTGGCTGCCACCACCTTCCTTGCCCTCCAAGCCAGCAGCTGCGGTGGCAAGTCCTTTCCGCAGACTTTGGAACAGGGAAGAGATGTTCAGTGCCGCATGAGGCCCAGAGCTTTCTGTAAGGATCAGGAAGGACAGTTCTTTCCTACATTTCCTGGAGCTGAAGCTCTGTTGCTCAAAAGATGGCCCTCTGAGAAGAAGAGAAAAGCACGGGGTTCCTCCTCTGCTCGTGGATAAACGAGCGTATCTCAGCTCTCTGGAGGCTAGTCTTCCTCCGGGGGTGGCTTGCAGGACTTGGCCACGATAAATAATAGCGGAGATTTGTCAACAGCACCCCAGAACGAGAGGTGGGTAGGAAGGGCAAACCGGAAAGCGCAGGAGAGGAAAGAGGCTTTGTACGACCAGGAGGCTATGTTTACCATCAGAGAGAGAGAGGTGAAGATCAAGGAAAAGGTTCTAGAATAGAAAAAAAGATTTTGCTGAAATAATAAAAATCAAAGGACTGTGTTTAATTGTGTTTCTGGGGAGAGGGAAAGAAAACGAGTGTGTAGTTTAAATAATAGAGAAACTCAAGGGAAAAGCTAAGTGCCATGGAGATTTAACTTTTCAACACTGTTGATAATGTAATGAAGAGATCACCACCTGGAAAGTGGTTTGGGAATGTCTCATTCTTTTTATCTGAAGAAGAATGTTTGTCTTTGATTAGAGGGTTAGAGAAAGCTCTGAAACTGGCCTCTTGCTTTGTGTCTGCTGGTGTCTGCTTATGTGATCACTGCTGAAGGTGGGAGGCAGCGTCTGCAACCCCCGGCCTTGGCTGATTCAGCTCGTGAATCAGGGACCAGGAACGATGCAATAGTCTTGAGAGGCCATAAAGTCGAATCCAGCCTGTTGCTAACCAGGTTCTGACTTCAGGGCAAGACACTTCACATGCTTTGGCTCTGGAGCCTGGAAGAGAATGTTGTGTGGTATGGATCTCTCAGGTGATCAAGATACCATGAGTAAGTTAGAGAGTCAGCGGTGAGGGCTGGGCTGTGCAGGTGTGCTAAGACCTGTGAGGGTGAGCTGAGGTCTCCGCTGTGATGCTGGGGATAGAAAGCCCTTCCAGATACGCTCCAAAATAGAATTTATCCGGCCTGCACCAGGACCTCGCTTAGAAATCAA